ACTCATGAGAGAACCGAAACACAAAGGGTGTCCTATAATGCAACTTTTTCAAAAACACGTTGTATCGGTCATACAACTCACTGTACATTATTCCCATATGACACGAGAGGCTTAAAAAGTGATAAGCCTTTTCGGATTATCGCGCTTGGTGGCAATATTGATGGCCAATTCTATTATAGAAAAAATTTTGTAGAAAATCAAACGAGAATCAGCAACATTTATTACAATAATTGTTCATTTGTTATAAATATAAATAAAGTATTATAAATAAAAGGCTACATTTAACATTTGTCAGTAATGAAGAGCTTAGATAATGTAAAAACAAATTAAATATTTATTTAATACTTTCCAGATATTACCAAAATCACAAAGAAACATATAATAATAAAAAAAATAAAATATGACAGATTGTTAGCCAATCTGCGCACTCAGTCATATGAAAATCGTGTAAATGCAGATAATAAGACAAAATATATGTGAGCAACATGTAAGGAAAATAATGGAAAAAATAAGTCCTCAGATATTCAGGATGAGGAAAATACTGACCAAATTGCTATTTTGACATTTGGTTAACCAGATTTCAGGAAACCGAGGTCCAAAAGTAACCACTTTTCCAGGAACCAGAGTAATTTTATTACTTTCAGACCGCGAAACCACAACCCTGGTTATATTCGAACTCGGACCACAGCCTTAATGTCCCATTTGAATCTAGCATGAGTCAGAACATTAGATCTATGTTTTTAAAGCCAGTTACACCTACAGAAATATGTGAAAGTTCAAAAAAATAAAAAAACAAACATAGTTGTGGTGTAGACGATATTCCAACGAGTATTGTTAAGAAAGAAGTGAGAAGACTTTTAACAGACTTGGAGCCTTATAATTTATGACGAGGTTTTGTCGGAACCAGCAGCTGATTCTAAAACTGTTCAAAAATCTTGCAAATTCTGCAAGAAAAGGGTGGTGAATTCACTGGATTGGGATATGTGTATGTCTAGTTTCCACCCTAGCTGTGGGTAACAGGCGGGGGTTGTGAATAGTAAAAACAAAGTTATATTATGCTGTGAAAGTGTGGTTATATCAGAAAAAAAATCGCAAGAAAAGTGTGAAAGACGACTCTTCAGGCCTCATTATGGATGAAGCAACACTGAAAAATATAATCGGGGAGTCATTTCAACAGTACCTGGGACCGGTAGAGAAGAAAATGGATGAGAAGCTTGTGGAGCTGGAAAAATCAGTTCAGTATATGTCAAACTTATTCGAGGAACAGAGAACTAAATTTGAAGGAATCCTGGAGGAAATGAAGGCCGTTAGAAGAGAGAATGAGTCATTAAAGCAGAAAATTATCATATTGGGATCAAAATTTGATGAATTGGAAGTTCGGGAGAGGGCAAAAAATATCAGAATAAATGGTGTACCGAACCTGTCTGAAAAGGATACCTTCAAGATAACAGGCAAAATATCTTCGGCTATGAGGTTGAAAATTTCAAATGATGATATCCTAGAAAGTTTCAGATTGGGGCTAATGGAAGGAGGGCCAATATTAGTGAAGTTCCAAAATGTGCACATGTGACATGAAGAGGGAAATTTTAAAGAGAATAAGATCTTTAAGAGGAACAACAATAGAGAAATGTGGTCTGGAAGGTAAAAATGGCAAAATTTACTTAAATGAGGATCTGACAATCAATAAACAAAGTCTCTTCAAGAAGGTCAGAGACTTGAAAAGGGCTTTGCAGTCACTTACTGTTTGAAGGGGGTAACTTATCTCAAGAAAACTGAAAGTGGGGACGTAATAAGGATTAGATCAGTCAGAGGGTGACCTCACAGAACTCAGAGAAAATTAGTATAAGTGTATTTACAGATTATGTAGATTACAAAGAAACCAAAGTACAAATTCAACAACCTTAATAGTATTTTAGATGATTACAAGGAAAATGAGACAAAGGAATGTGATAATTTAGAAGAAGTGACCTAGCTCAATAATACGGAGCAAGATATTAATATGATGCATATAAATATAAGAAGTATCTATCAAAACTTTAATCAGTTTTTGGTGTTTTTGGAATCATCAAATAATAGTTATTTGTATACCAAAGCCGCGAAATTATAAAGATGATTTTTTTGAACATGTAAATCCGGTTATTCTGCACCATGATTTAACAGACCATGATCCCATATTGCTTAACTTAGAGAGAAATAGGAATATTCAAGAATAAATTAAAGAAAGAATGTGTAACTTACCCTGGTAATAAACATTCACTTGACAAATATAGAAATTACAGAAAGTTGCTATCTAAAATAATAAAAAATGCGAAATATGCATTCTATAAGTTACAGGCTGAAAAAAATGCCAATGACCCAAAGAAATTGTGGCAAACCATAAAACAGGCAACAAATGACAATAAGGGCAACAGTGAAATAAACTGTATTAGGGTAAATAATGAGGAAATAACGGATAAAAGTCAAATAGCTTTTGAATTCAATAGGTATTTCACAAATGTTGGGAGGGTACTAGCAGAAAAAATTGTCAATGGAGGCGACAATGAGCAAATTGGGGCATGTATGTTGATGGCTCCTTTAATGCATATTATTATTGTCGTTTTTGGTTCTGAGGTTTTCCCTGATGCTTTGAAAAGTGCGGTAATAATTCCTTTGTTCAAACAGGGTGATGGCAACGAATAACTATAGACCTATTACATTAACAAGCACGATAAGTAAAATTATTGAAAAATGTTTTAGGAGTAAGCTCTTGCGTTTTTTGGAAGGAAACAACTTGCTGTATGAAAATCAATTTGCCTTCAGGGAAAATTCCAGCACAGAGAATGCGCTGTGCAGAGTGACGGAGACTATTATAAAAAATTTGGATCAAGGTAGGAAGGTGTTCGGTATCTTCCTGGACCTTCAAAAAACTTTTGATACGGTGGCACACCGGATTTTGCTTCGGAGGTTGAATGTAATGGGGGTAAGCACAAGAATTTCAGGTGAGGAAAGTAGCAGGGGTCCGATTTTCGAATATTTTCGCATACGAAATTTGATACGATTTCGAATGCTCCCCATTCAACTTACATTGCTGTCAGTCAAATTTCGTGTACGAAATGTACTCGAATGGTTTCGAAAATCGCACCCCAGGTTGGGGGTGAAGTTTGGTGTGCCACATGGTACGGTGCTCTGTATTTTATAATATCTACATTAATGGGATACTAACTGTGATTCATGGGGAGGGAGTAGTCTTTTGCTTCGTTGATGACTCGGCAATAATTATTGTATGTGGAGAAAATTGGGAGTCTGTAGAATTCAGGGCCGAAATTGCGCTCCAAAACATAAAAGAGTGATTAGATCACAGTCTACTGTCTCTGAATGTGGATAAAACAAAATTTATTGCAATTTCCCTTTCTCAGCGTTCACCACCTGAATTCAAAGGGATTACTTTGCATGGTTCACAATGTAGGTTAAACATCAAGTGTAATTGTAAAAATTTTGTGGAGAGAACACAAAACTTAAAATATTTAGGTGTTTTCATTGATGAGACTTTTAACTGGAAAAAACATGTAAATTATGTTACTGACAAAATTAGAAAACTTATCTTCAAATTCTATGAATTGAGAAATATATTGACCCTTAAAACAATGAGATTATACTGTTTAAAAAGAAAAGATATCCCACAGAGTTAGTTTTTAGGGACAGTGGTTTTCTAAACATTAATCAGCTTTATAGTAAATCCATCATCAGATTTATGTTAAAAAATGTATATAATAAAGAAAGGATCACTCATGGCATGAATACAAGGACAATAGCTTAGAATTGTGTTGCACTGCAAAACCCCAAACATGCTGTGTGCCAAAATCACATATATTATCTAGGACCAAAAGTATTTAATAGTTTACCTCTGTCTATTAGGTCAAAACCATACTATGAATGCAAGGATGACATAAAGAAGTGGATTCTGGAAATAACTAATTGGAAAATATTTTTTTTTTTAAAGTTTATTGTTGTTTTTGCTTCTCTCATATTTTTTTGGTTTTTTAGGTCTGGTTTTTTGCTTCTCTATTGATTTTAGTTTTTTTTGTTTTTTTTTTCTTTCCTATTTCTTGCTTAGATGGTGGTTGAACTTTTCTCCACATATACCTCATTATGATAACATGGTTTTGTTAAAGGGTGCACACACAGTATTCCAAATACCCTAGTGTACCGAAAAATTGGCAGTAGTGAGGGAATTTATTTTATTCTTATTTTAGTTTAACTAGTTAAGATATATTCTTATTTATTATGTTAAATCAGTATTATTGTATTTACTAAAAATGTATTCACTACTGCAAATAAATAAATAAATAAATTTATTGGAATTTTATATTGGTGTTCAACCAGCTAGATATAATTTATTTTTGGTGTGACGACGTTTCACTTTGTATTACTATGTAAGCAATTTTGAAATAAAGGATTTATTATTATTATTATTATCATTATTATTATTTTTGAAAAAGTTAATAAGCCCTGTTAGAGATAATGAGAATGAAGCACGAAGGATATTTGATATGGTCTCATTAGTTCCATTTGAAAAAACAAAGTTCAGTCGCATACCCCATAAACAGAGCATCCTGTATATTCAAAAATATTTTTCAATAATGCATATTAGAGTATCAAACAACTTTGTAATTTAATTTTTTTTTCTTGCATCACTCTGTAAGGAGATATCGTCCGATATCGCACTAAGTGGACACCCTGTATACATAATTTATTGATGTTTGAGAAGCTCTTACGTCCTAGCTAAAAAATATACATGAAAAACCATTTGAAAAAATCCAAGTTATGTTTCTTTGTGATGAGTGATTGTTTTGTCCGATTCCCAAAATATAATACACAAAAATCCTTACAACTTTTGTATTAATACTTATTACCTGCTATGTATAAGTAAGTCATTAGATGAAGATCCGAAATAAATTATCACTCAATATCCTATAAATCCATACATACATACATACAAATAATTTTTGATAAATATTTACCTTGTTTAGAACCACGAAATAAAGTGGAGCCTTTCCTGCATGGCTCAAAGGTGTACTCCTGCTGTTTTCTTGTTTAACCATCTCCATCAAGCCGGAGATCATATCCATAATTTCTGACATTGTGCATGTTTGGACGAATCTAACAAAAGATAAATCAAAACAATCCGTTATAAAAATATAGGCCAATTCAGATAAAAACAAAACGGTTATTCTTATAGCAATTGTTCATGTGCCCCTATATTAATTATTTCATTGCTAGTACAGTTACCATAAACATATGAGGGTTCCCAGTTTGAATCAATTTACTTCAAAATTCAAATAATGTTCGAAGTATACGCAATACTAGCCGGAGTTTTATTACCCGCCGGCTTATTAAGTTTTGCTTATTTTATTTATCACATAAAATCTCAAAATTCTTTAATATGGACCTTTATTTTTGAAAGCTTAGCCACAGTCTTATTGGGATTTTTTTATATGTCCGGTGCGATAGTTTTATCCGAAAATCGTGTAATTTATGATGGAAGTTTAGTGGATATTTCTATTGATGATTTAGCAATTATTAATCATACTTTGTACGAGGTTGAAGTACCAACGTTTTATCAAGTAAGTGAAATACGATTTTTATTTTGTTGTCAGATCCTATTTTTTTATTGCTATAGAACGAGGACAACGAAATAGAGGACTCCAGAAACAACAAATTGAAGCCTGAGATTTTTTTAAAAAACTATCAAACTCTTGTAGAAACTGCTATTAGGAAAAAACTTCAAAATATGACTGGAGTTCAAAAAAATTTCAAGAGAGAACAAAGAAATGTCAAGGAAGAACAAATAAATGTTGAAAAAGTGCAAGACGATGACGTAATAATAGATACAGTGGAAAATCAAGATTGTTTTTTGAGAATGTTTTTTTATCAAGCATTGCTAGGTAAGGGTAAAGGTTTATATAGACAAATAGGAATATTAGGAGAGTAGATTGGTCTAAAGGTGCCTGAAATCAACTTGCTAATGTATTTGAACTTGTAGATATCTCAAAAACAATAATAACAATAATTGCTCATTAAATTGCCAATTGTTTCTGAGAAAACTACCTGAACTTAAGACAATCATAAATCATTTTTTAATTTGCTCTCATTTAACTATATTTCAGTGTACGCTTTTGTCACCAGTGCCCTATCCCTTCTAAACACCTGCCAAATATGCAAAAACTGCTCAAATGAACCTCCACATGAAAAACCTGCTACTGAAGCCACTGAAAAATCTGAAAACCCATCGGAAACATTTGGAGAAAAAATTGCGGAGGACAATACCAGTGAGGATTCTAGTCAGAATGCTGCTCCTGTAGGGCCTTTGTTTGACGATGACAGTATTGGAAGCTCTACGCTCAATTTAGAAGTATTTTCAGTTAAAAATACTGCACACGTGGAGCAATGTAAGCCTTGTTCTGAACCAATGAGCTTAAGACAAGAGAGTCCATTTTTAACAGCAAGTAAATGCGTTACAATGTTGATATTGCCAATAATTTTGACACTGATTTTATATTTTTTAATGAAAAACACTTACATTGACAATACCAAACAAGACAACTCCTTTAATTATCTGCCAAGCCTGAACAATACCTCACCAAACATTCAAACAGCAAACTACATTACAAATTTCAATGAGAATATGGAAAATAGCACAAACCAACAAGAAATAAATTATATTTTAAAACACGTATATTCAGTACTTACTGAATTTCAAGAAAACAATACTGACATAAAAACACATTCAATTAGAGGCCACTATTCATATAAATCTAGTACCAATAAAGGAAATTCCACACAAGAATGTTTCAATAATGACACTGATTTAAAGACTTTTAATTTTAGTGTTTTTATTTTATTATTTTTTGCTGTAATCTTCTATTCTAAGCTTTCAGAAACAAAATTATCATCCACAAACAGCCTAAACAATAATTTGAACAAATGCTTAATGGCCTTTTTGGTTACATGGACACCAAGTGTAATCGATATGGTTGTTTCAAGAATCCTAACTACACGTCAACCAAATATTTTTTCAACACTACTATTATTATTTGGCAATATGGACAAATTATTTTCAGTGAATGAAAACATTAAACTCTTCAAACATTTCATTAAACCTAATAATAAAATAAACATTTAACGCTTACCGTTTAAAATAAGGATATAGCTTGGGTAAAATATTATCACCAGCAGTATCTCTGCGTCCTGTTAAAGGCAAACTTAATAGCACTTTACTCCATATTTCTAGAAGTTGTGTACTGAAATATTCCAAAGATAGGTGGGGCAATAATCTTAGTAAAAGCATCTGAAACAAATCATATATTATTTATAAACACTAGGAATGTCGTTTTATTTCTTACCTTTCCTTTCCTTATATTCAAAAAACTAGCAAACTTGTCCTCTTGAACAAAACCATTGCAAATTTTTACAATGTAGTCATGTTGGTTTTCCACTATTGGCTCACTTTCAAGTTTGAATAGTTTAAGGATTTCTTGCTTTTGTTCAGGAGTGGGAGCTTGTTCCAATTCCCTTAATCTCTGCTTTTGTTTCATTTCTCGATGTTTTTCCATGTTACTAATAAACAATGGATTTTTGATGTCTTCGGCTCGTAAAAGTAAAGAATACAGAGATTCTAATTCAAGCAAATACTGCTTAGTTTTTCTTGAATCTTTTGCAGGAGGAGGTATGTCTTGGTCCTTTTCTGGCTGTACAATGTCCATGTCTATGATCTTTCTTGGAGCTGTTACAGAACCACACTAAAAATAAAATATATTCGAGTTATATTGTCATAATGTAAACTAGAGCTATTACTTGTAATTTCCCCAATGAATTTTCAAACTGCAAAGGAGTATAAATTCTAGGTGTCAAATTATTATTATCCTGTCTTTCACTATTTCTCCTTTGTCTGCCATTATTTTGGTATCGTCCATTTCTCTCATTATTATGCACATTTTCTCTCTGACTCTTGGATCTTCTTTCTTTATAGATCTAATTTGAAGAAAAAAAATTAAAACAATTATAAAGTAGATACAAAAAATAAATAAATTGACTCAAATAAACTCTTACAGTGTAATAGTAATCGTCAAAATAGGGTGTTCCAGTGTTGAGCTGGATCATTTGGATGTTCAACAACCATTGTTTGTCCTTTGAAGTCATAAGACCAGAATATTCATCTCGGTCATCATAATCTCTGTTGTGCCTAAAATAAAATAACAAAATTAATCCTTGAAAAATATTTCCCATAGAAAAACTACTGTAAGCCTAACCATGGTCTGGTTTTAGCAAACCAATCATGCCTAATTTGCACTGCTTTCAACATAAATTATAATTAAATATTACTGCAATAATATTTTGTAATTTATAATAGAAGTACACTTGCATGTGAATGCAACGAAAATATAAAAATTTGTGATTCCCAATCCCGATCTCATTCCAAACTAAATAACAATTGTTGTTTTTGTTGAGCTATTTTTAGAAGTAAACAAAAAATTATTATTTTAGTTTGTTCTACGTAGTGAAGAGTTTATTCTTTACAAATGTCAACTAACCTTGACATTACTTTTTGAATAGATATTCTAAGTTTTTTTAATTTTAAATTGATTCTTGAAGCCCAAATATTTAGACCTCAATCCTCTACAAATGCTAAGCTTATCAGTAAATTAGTTTTTCACTAAAACATATTTTTTGAAAAAGTTGGTTTGTTTATTATAGGTAGAGTAGAATCAGGAGTTATTGGTCGGCCGAACCTGCTCTTTAGTCATAGTAGGCTAATTGTCAGAAAGGACACTATCACATAACTCTTTTTTTTTGCTACTAATAGAAAGGTGGAAGTTTAGTTTAGCTAGAGACCTGTCCAAAATGGGCAGCCCTCTAAGTTATTTCATATAATATGAGTAAACAGGTGGACAAAGAGGATCATTCTATGATCCTCCGTCCAATATCACACGCATTCAGAAATAGAAGAGGACCCCTCAAGTTGTTAGATGGACTGCATGAAGAGACTTGATGGAAACTGAATTATAATTGCTCAGGACAAAAGAAAACGGAAATCACTTACCTATAATTTCCACTATCGTGCCTCATCCTAGGATGCCCCTGCATTTGTTGCTGTCTATGTGGCGAGTATTGCTGCTGGTGCTGTTGCATCTGATTCTGTCTTTGCGCAGCCATATTTTTCATTTGATTGGGCATAGGTGGCCCAGAATTAAGATTCGGTGGCGGAGGAAAATTGAAGGGATGATTAACCTAGAGAAGAAATTGAAGAAAATAATCAGGCTGTTGCAGAGTAGAGAGGTTATGTTATGTTGTATTTGTTTATTTTTCATATAAGTTTTTGAGTTTTTGCAAGCTTAAAGCCTTACAAAAACTGCGTTTCCTTCGTCCGTCTACTAGACTCACCTCGAGAATCACCTATTGTCTACAATTCTAATCAGTTGAATTAAAAACTTTTTAGTTTTTGTCTTTTAACTCTGATAACTGATAACTCTCCAAAAGTGAGGTTAAACATGCATTGTGCAAAGTCACAGCCTCCTACATTTAACAAGCCATGAAGTTAAAAAGGCAACACCGCAATCTTGCCGCCAAGTGGTGCTGGTGGTGTTTGTTTGTATAAATATATATTTTTTATTTTATTATTATGAATCACAAAAAATGCATAATTTATTGTACTAAAGGGCCAAAAACAGTAATTCAATGAATAATTTAACTATTTATGTAAATAAGAACAGTAAATAATTGATTTAAATGAATATATTTCTAGAGTCCAAAGTGTTATGTTTCAGTATGTCTTTTGAAAATCTAACTTTTTCTTTCTTCGGGATTTTTTCGGAAGGCAAGTCCATCAAATACTTGAGCTGATTTTCGAAAAAAAAAGGTAAAGGTACCTCTTACCTACTTTTAAGAGTTGGACGTTTTAGTTTGAACTCTCGAACTACACCTTTATCCTTGTTTGTTTCAAATCTAATTATTTCGGTTTCTTCAAAATGATTACAACACACCACAGAATTTTTCGTTATTGTATAATCTCGGGTATAACTATCTTGGTGTATTGCTTATTGCTTTCATCAACATTTTTTGCACTTCAGAATTTTTTTGGAAATAAAAATGTTTGCATTTCTTCAGTTTTTAAGGAACTCCTAATAGTTCGATTTGCACCCAGGAACACAGTAGTTTCATGGCATCTGGAACAAGTTTAAATATCTTAGGTAATATATCGAGAACTATGCTCTTGCAGACAAATATTAATATTGTTTTTATTGTTTTACCTTACCTTACCTTCATTTTTGCTCCTGTACCCATTTGCTAAAAATTTGCAATCAAAGCACAAAGAAACAGGTATCAACTAAACATGGGCAATATATTGGTGTGTTTCTATCCACTTTTTCGTCAGTAATGCCCATAAAAATACTAAATTGCAACAATACACAATGAAAGCAATACACAGAAACACATAACCCAATAACAAAATAGCACCATACGCGACGTTGCCGTCATTTCCAACTGCGTGGCTTGTTAACTATAGGAGGCTGTGGCAAAGTGCAAGAGTAAAGACTGCAATAGACAAGAAAAAAACCGTGATTCGTAAAGTGCAGGAGCTGCAGAAAGAGATTACTACATTAAAAGGATACATGGAGCAGCTTAAATTGAACCAAGGCCTAAATGGTCAGCAAATTTTAACTGAGTCTCACGAGCGATCCGTAAGGTCAAAATATCTTAGGGTGTTTGATGTCCCAGTATATTCATCAAATTATAATACCAGACAAGATTAAGCATGATACCAACATAGCTCAGGACATTTTTACCTAGCTGGTTGATCAGTCCGAGATTAATTTCATACAAAGGGTCACTCGAGTTGGCAAGAAAAAGAAAGCCCTAGACCAGTAAAAATTATATGCTCAAATTCAGACATTATTTAGAAAGCATTGCGAGCTAAAACTATATTGAATAAAGCTCGCTGTTTTTGTAAACCAAAATGCAACAAGAAGATGCATATAAAGCAGTTCGGGAAGAGCTCGTGCGCAGGAAGGATAATTCCCGAGATAATTCCCTTCCAGGGAATGCCTAAAGTTTTGACTAAACACAACACGCAATCCCAGGAAAACTAGAAGCATCCTTATTAGTAGTATGATAATCAGAATGTAGGAGGTTTACGAACAAAAATTGAGAGTCTGAAGCTGGCGGTGAGTAGCTCTTGGTATGATATAGTAATTCTGGTCGAAAATAACTTGAACTGTGATTTCTTGAATAGTGAGTTAGAGGTGCTTTCTTGAGTGCTTTAATTATAATCTTTTATCGAACTGATAGATATGAACTAACTAATCATAAATCTAAAAAAGTCAATTTTAGTCTTTCAGGGTCAACATAAGCCAGCAAAATGTGGAGCAGTTGTTTATTTTATGTGAGCTGAAAGGGTCCAAATTCATAATAGGTGGTGTCTATATTCCACCAAGTATGTCTGAAATTTACTATAACACATATTGCGAGGCAGTAGAGAGTATTTTTCAGAACTATAAATTTTAGAAAATCGATATTTTTGGAGATTATAATCTAGAAGCTCTCTGAATGACGAATATGGACGTAAAATGCTTCTTTTTAGGATTTTTTTTTCTATCTGGATGCACCTTTATAATTTCAAAAAATAAGGAAAGTGTGCAAATTTTAGCCATCTGAAAAATTCTAAAAAGCGTATGACAAAAAATACTGTTTGTCACACGTACCTAACGAAGTTTTTCAGGACTCATCTGCTATTCCGGACTCGGCTAACGCCTCGTCCGGAAACAGCAAAAACTTCATTTTAGGTACTGACAAAAATAACTATTTTGATCTCGCCTTTACAAACTATGCAAGTGCAGATAATATTGCTCATTGAATCGCTTTCCATCTAAGATTCTTATAACAACTTCGTAACTAAGATTATGCAAACTATCATCAAAAATTGGATCCCTAGCTACGACGATATTGCTGAGCTAGGGATCCAATTTTTGATGATAGTTTCCATCATCTTAGTTGCGAAGTTGTTATAAGAATCTTAGATAGAAAGCGATTTAATGATTGCAAGGATTTCTACTTTGAGTTTAAAAATGCTAACTTTTTGGGTTTAAATAACCTTTTAGCTGGTGTTGTTGACTGGAAGCAGTGCTTGCAAAATTCGGATATAAATATAGCTTTAGATACCTGTTATGAGACTTTAGGTGTAGGTATCGCTTATTTTGTACCTGTCAGAAAGTACAAGTCTGGCTCTTCAGGCTGAGGTCTGCGTGTAAAAGGTGTCGAAGTATCTGCTGGTCTCTGTTTATATCCAAAGTGGATACTGAATTTAAAACTAATCCAATTTGCATGCCAATAGAGTGGAGAGGTCTTTCGAAGAACTACAATTTACAACTGATAAAGTAGAACATGCTCTTAAAGTATGAAAAAAGACTCAAGCCCAGGGGTCTTATTTTCGAATATATTCGCATACGAATTTTGATAAAATTTCGAATGCTCCCCATCTAATTTACATTGCTGTCAGTCAAATTCCGTGTACGAAAAGTACTCGAGTGGTTTCGAAAATCGCACCCCAGGACCTGATTAAATCCCAACAGTTTTTCTTCAGAACTGTAGTGCCACAATTAGCCCATTGCTTGCGGGGGTGATGCAGGAATGTATGCTTCAAACAAAAATTCCAGCACCTTGGAAATATTCCATTGTCACGCCACTGTTCAAAAAAGGGGATCGACATAGACCAGAAAATTATCGCCCTATTAGTCTCACTTGTAACCCGCTGAAATTTATGAAGAAAATTATAGTTAAGGAACTAATATCTTTCTTTTTAGAGAACAATATCATACCTTCAGCCCCCGTTTCAGTCCAACACGAATTTCTAGCAAAATGTTCTACCCTCGGTTCTACCACTACCAATCTTTTGGAATGTCTAAATGATTAGACAAACAACCATGACAATGGCCTGCCAACAGATGTTATCTATCTAGATTAGAAAAAAGCATTTGACAAAGTCCCACATAACCCGTTATTAGTGAAATAAGAGCACTTTGGAGTTAGAGGAAAGTTGCTTGCCTTGATCAAGGATCTGTTAGAAGATAGATTTTTTCAAGTGAGAGTTAATGGAGAACTTTCCAGTCCCCATAGGGTGACCAGTGGCGTCGTGCAAGATTTGGTGATCGGTTCGGTGCTGTTCACAGCGTATCTTTTTGATTTGGTGGAACTAATCCAATCAAGTGTTAACAGATGATTGCAAAATCTATGCAAATCCTTTGATAGATGCGAATTTACTTGAAACTGATCTTAAGAACATTGAAAAGTGGTTAAAAACAGGGGGAATGAAATTGAACTCCTCAGTATGCACAGTACTAAGGATTGGTCCAAATAACCCTAACAAAGACTATATTCTCGATGACTCTGCTTTGACATCAGTAAATGAACAAAATGATCTGGGAGTTGTAGTAACAACCGACTTGAAGTGGGAGAATCACATAATTTAAATAAATAAAAAAGCTAACTCCTATATATCTTAATTAACCATGTCTTTAGAGACTACTCCATCGAGATGATATCTACCCTTCACAAAAGCTATATGAGGCCAAAAATAGAATATACTTATACTGTGTGGAATCCATATAACATTAAGGATATAGAATTTCTCGAGAAGATTCAGTGCAGAATGACAAAAATTCCCCCACAGTTGAAACAGTTGCCATGTCGGTAGGTGGTAGACGCTTTTTACTCATTGGGCGTCGACCGGTGAGATACCACCATGCCAGAATTGAGTAGCGCTAAGTGGTATCACCACGTTCCGCTACTGCGCTGGCAGTCCGGTTCCAACAATGAGTAACAGATAGCATGATGGCGCCTCCAGGATCAAAATATTCCGGAGGTAAAATACCCGACCACTCGGACCTCCGGGCGTCGGGTGGTCCTGGGGGTCCTTCATGCAAAGATATAAAGAGAAGATCAAAAACTCAACTCAGAATTGATTTTAGCAATATAAGAGGAATAAGTACAAATATGAATTCAGTTCACCAACATCTTGAAGAACAAAGACCTGACATCCTTGTTCTCACTGAAATTAAAATCAGTTCTGCAACACCTATTGTGAACTATCTTTATCCCGGCTATGACCTACACCACCGATTTCGACATAATTTTGGGATCTGTGTGTACATTAAAAATTACATTTCATGTCATCGAGAGGAGAAGCTAGAACCAGCGAACCTTGATGGCTAAAATTCACCTCAAAGTCATCGACC